CCACCCCCCTCTCGCTTCCCAGTACACCAAATGCGGCCTCCCCTTCCGAACTGTTCGCACCCCGGAGGTTGACCCTTGGCCGCGGGTCAGCTTTGTTTGAAGGATGGCCGTAACTTCGCAATCTCCTTGCCCTTTATCGTATAGGCTGCTCTCTCGAGCATTTCTATTGCCACCGAGTTTCATTCGAGCGCACACTAATCTTAAGGAAATGACCTCTAAATCTTCTCTCTATTTTTAATTCGATAGTTTACTCTGCTGCCTTTTTCACGTTCGCCCACTCCGCAACCCACCTTCATCATTGAGCATTATTACGCACCAGTTTTATCGGCTTGCATTTGCATAAGTGCCTGGCGCAATATGTAGGAAGTAATCTCTATGCAAAGCGCAACGAAAAGGACCGTAAAAAGTGGTCTGCAGCCGCGATACGGGTGCTGATACCAATTGTGCAATGTCAGCGGACAAAAAGCGCCGATCAGTTTTTTTTTCGCACTAACAGCTCTTCCTCGAACTTGGCTACTGCTGCACTTATTCTCAAAATGCCGCAAACCAAACACGTTACAGTAGTTCAAAATGTGCAAAGGTTACCGGCATTCCAATCTTCATTTTACAGGATTCGTCTGCTAATCCTCACTGCTTGAATATAGAGCCATCCAACACATAATTTGCAAATGTAACTGTAACACCCTTAAAAAAGCAGTCCCACCCACTTGCAGAAGTCGCACATTCTATAGTTTATTGGGTAAAGCCCGGCCCTGCGGTTAAGAAAGGGTCATTTCTTCAGGTAGATGGTTTAGAAGGGATGGTCACACTGGAAGGCCATGTATTTGAATGGCTGTGAGTCGCCCGGGCCAACCAAGCCTTCCATCCCTCCGGGGTCGGTTAATTGGTACCAGACTTGTCTGGGAGGATAAAAACACTGACTTGTACATCGGCTGGCCCCCGCAAGTCATTGTATAGGCCACATCGCATTCAAACGCCCACTGCGAATGTACAAATGGAAGTAGAATGCGTGCCGCATCCCAAAACGGGATTGATCAACGGCAAAATAACTTAAGTAGTAAGGAAGAGTCCTTTGAAGAAAGTTTTCAAGGTAGAAAGCAAAACTGAAAACTCGCCCAAGAAGTCGATCTACGACCTCTTGTCTCGTCGGTCCGGGCCGCTGCCACTGCACTATCTCGCTTCATAACTACATCCAGAGAACGTTTCGCAGATTTGGAGAACAGATTCGAGATCAGCGTCCAAACATTTAATTGTGCATGTCTCGTTACAAATGGCCACTTCGACCTGGTATCCTTCCCTTGTAAGTCGTATGGCAGCGAGCTATGATTTTCTATGCGGCTTTGGAGGAAACCTTCGTCGTACCGATATTTACCCACGAGCTGGAAGCCAAAATTAATGGGTATTGCTATTTTTGCATTAAGACCTCGCAACTCTGCTGTCAATAAGGAATTCAACTCGTAAACATAGCAACTCTCCAAATAGCAAACGAAAATCACTTCAACGTCACCCTCCTGCTGGACCCTCCTGCTCATTAAATGCAATTTCACTGACTCCTTCTCTGCCCAGAGAGTCAGCTTACTATGTAGGTAGCCATCAGACAGACATTATCAAAGCCCAGTTTGGGATCTCCGATCTAAAGACAAGGTCTACAATTGGCCATAAGGTAGAAGGTTAGGTTACAAATCATTAATTCGAATTAGTTTTTGCATAGGCCAAAGGGAAGGGCATTTAAAATTCATTGACAACCCTGACGATGTTCAATGAATGCGGAAAATTTCTTACAGCAAAAATTCCTCTCATAGTATTGCTCCAACCTACTAGCTCTAATATATTCTGAACATCCAAGGGGCAGGCGACGCTGCATTACGTAGGGGGGGGAGAAGCGTATTAGGTTTGGCCGAGGTTAACCACCATTTAGCGAGTGGCGAACAAGGGATTAGTTAATCATTGTTGATCAGTTTCAGGGGTCAGTGGTTGTTCAGGATAAAGGATAAAGGATAAAGCATTTGCCGTTGATCAATCCCTTTTTGGGATGCGGCACGCATTCTACTTCCATTTGTACATTCGTAGTGGCGTTTGAATGCGATGTGGCCTATACAATGACTTGCGGGGGCCAGCCGATGTACAAGTCAGTGTTTTTATCCTCCCAGACAAGTCTGGTACCAATTAACCGACCCCGGAGGGATGGAAGGCTTGGTTGGCCCGGGCGACTCACGACCCAGGATTTGATCCCCGGACCGCTCGCGTGGTAAGCGTGCCACTTGCCACTACACCACTTCCGCCCTGCTATAAAAATAATTATGATGGTGAGGGTGGGGATCAGAGTAGCTGTTGAAAGCCACATTACTTCTAAAGCAACCTAAGTGACATACGTGTCCAGGAAGTTTGCCTTATATGATCCCTTATTCCTCAGGGCGAACACAATCCCATTTGGATCTAATGACTCACACTCGTTTCCAGGCTCACTTTCTCATGCTACTTCCATCCTACCTGAAACTATACCTGCACCTGATTCTACATAGAAGATATCCATCGAGCGGAACACACTGAAACTAAGAACTCTAGATTCCGCAATCTTCGCAAAAATCACAGAACTCTCAAAACCCGTCCATTTTCCCATGAACTTGCGAAATTTGTGTTAATTTTCCAACAATTGCAGTTATTCTCTCCGAAGGCTGGCTATATAGCAATTGCGTCTTACCCCCACTTTCGAAACTTTGTTCACTGCCAATTCTTATCATGCCCCCTCCTCCATCTTAAACACCTCCAAAAAGCCATGTATCGTCCCATATAAGGGAATTTTTCAAAGTTGACCAATCTGAGTAATACTATTAGCTCATCTTCACCGGTCTATTACTTTTTCCGTACTCCTACACCCGAAAATTTGGCTACTGACCGAACGCCGTGTTATTGCTCATGGATATTGGTGTTTGGTCGGTTAGCAAGCGACCAAACTCCTGGCGATTACAGCTGCTTTTTCTTGGAACTTCTCAGGAACTTACTGAAGAGGAATCTGCTCAGGAGTACGAACCTCACAAATTACAATAAACTTTCATGGTCTTTATTTCATGAATCATTGTCATCGCTGGAATTTTGCCGAAAATAAGGTGGCTATTCTGGGCTGAATGAACCGATGAACACAAAGGGACATGGGCAGAAGTGATCATAGCAGTACCTTGCTCTGTTCTTGTTCTTTTCGTCAACCCGACGAGGTCACCTGGTGTTTTCCAAAGGTTGTTTTTCGCAACCACCGGGCAAAGTCCGCGTGTAACGTCATCGGAGCTATTCTGGGAAACCTTTGTTTATCCATGGAATAATCAAGCATAATTTTCCGGCTCCTACTTCAGTCGATAAGTCATAGGTCTGAAGATGTAAACAGAAGAGTTCACAACTTTATAGAAAGTAAACATCATGAACTTCGATCGATTCAACTACCATAATCGATAAGTAAACTGTTCATTTTATATGGGTCAAGAGGAGCAAAGTACTGAGAATGACTGCTTACGCCCATTGTCGGCATCAACAATACCTTTGTGAGGTGGCCTACTGCTGATTGTCGGACGCGGGGAACCCGTGCTGCTAAAGAATCAAAGATCAGGTGAACCAGTCACGTCATGCGGCCTCGAAATGCCCTCAATGAGGGCCAATACGACAGGAAGGGCCCCTTGGGACGGCAAACTAACATTAGGTGTCGCATGCAGGACCTCCCGGCAGGGTGTGGGAGGGATAACCAGTCTAATTTGTTCATTGTTGTTAGCTTTCTATGGGTTAGTTTCCTTTGACGCTGAACCCATTTTGATATTGACACACACAGACGCGCCCTCCAAGTGCTCCGTCTGGAAGTTCCGAATGGGAGGAAAAATAAAACTAGAGGGATTTGATTCCCCATTCCCGGGCGGGCGACAGAGTCAAGCGTAACGTCTGAAAAAAATTGAAATTGGACAAGCCCCCTGCTCTGGGAAGCCACCAACAAGACCTCATCCAAAGGTCGATGATGGGTTAAACTTGCTGTTTTGACACAGTTCAACCCAACCAGGCAATTTCAAACTGTGTCGGCAAGCTTGGGTATATTGCAATTGGGACCGTTGAAATGAATAATTTCAAAATTTCTCCAGCGTTTCGATAAAATTTCTGAATTTTATAAGAGTTGTTTTCCCGCTCCTCCCACTATCGATGGCCGTGTCCTCGAAGTCACCCCCCCTCCTAATAAAAAAATACGGCATCTTTTGAAAAACAACAGCGGACGTTGGCTGTGCCAGGGAGCTCAATGGACCAGACGGACCGGTACCGACCGGTAGTACTGATGGTCAGAATTCTTCATGAGAGCTGCTCTAAACGGTTCATGCCACTTGCGAGAGGATAAGCCAGTGGGGTTCTCTGGCACTTAGTACGGACAAACGGAGACCTTGGTCTCTCGCATTACAGGAATTCGATGAGTAATGAAAGAGAACAGGATTACTTGCTGAGCGACAATCGCGTTGTTATTTATGCATGATGTGATGCTTGGGCTTTCTATGTTTACCGTCACGTGTCTCTATTCGAAGCACGCGGCGACAGAGAACGCAATAGCGGACCAGAGATCACTGGGCGTAGTAAACAATCTGCCCCTTTGGGCACCCCTATAAAAGCCCACGACTGACAGCTCTCGCTATCGAAGTCGTGCTATTTCACTCTCTGACTTTTTCCAACTCTTTAAGTAACATTTCTGTCCTCAGTTGTAGCATGACATCCTCACTTACCTAGTTTACAGCTCCATCAGTCTTTCGTTGTTCTTATTTGTTACTTTTTTATAAGTAATAAGTAAAACACAGGCCAAACTGTCTTCTAGTAAACTAGCTTCACTTCTAGTAATTTTTGGCATAATTCAGCTGTAATTTACCATTCGGCCAAGATTGTCAGTAGCCTCTATTGCGCCGTAAAGTTCTAATAAAAGTCTGTCGCCGTATTAATAGATTGAGTTATTTTTTTTTCAGAATCAAATCAACTACTACGCCTACAAAATGAGCAACAATGTAGGTTTATTACTGTACAGCAATTTTTATTTTGTTAAAATTTGTTTTAATTAATACTTCAAATATGCGTTTTCTAGTCTGGAGTTTTGGCTAGTGCTGGTGAGAAAGCCCAGGAATTAACTAACAAAACCACCGATATGGTATACGGTGCCGGCGCTGCAGTAAAGGATACCCTGGCGTCTGGATACGAGAAGGTCGCAGATACCGTGGCAGCCGGCTATGAAAAGGTTATTTCATTTCTTCAATCACGGACCTAAAATCCAGTTAGAATTTCGATGTCGAGGACAGGGCGCTTTCCAAAATTGGTCAAGTCTCGGTCCTCAGGGCGCATTCCAAAATTGAGTGGTCAAGACTCAGTCCTGTAACCTTTTTAATCATATTTTCAATGTATTGGTTCAGGTTGCCGGTGCCTCACAGGAAGCCGCTGATAACGCTGAAGAGAAAGTCGACGAGGGCAAACGGGCTGCGAAAAACAATTACGAGTCTGCAAAGGATAAGGCCTGCGAGGGTAAAGAGTCCGCAAAAGATAAGCTCCACGAGGGCAAAGAGGCGGCAAAGGATAAGGCTGAGGCTGCAAAGGATAAGCTCCACGAGGGCAAGGAAGCGGCAAAAGATAAGGTTCGTTCCCAAGAAATCATTAAGATGTAATAGAAATATTACCTCATAATAATCTTTCATACACTTTAAAAACCATGATATCACGTCTAGATTTATGTAAAAATCATGATTTTTCAGGCTAACGACGCCCGAGACTATATCGGGCAAGAAGATGCACGAGGGCGCCAATGCCATGCAGTCCTAAGCAGATTTAACTGCCATGTACACTTTTGTAATTAACGAGTTATTTATGTATAGGATTGAATGAATTTTACTCGTGTAACTTTCATGTATCTTGTCTTGTTATCATGTTGTGTGATGCTCAGAAATGAAATCAATTTTGGATATTGTTGAACGGAATCTCATGGAAGCTTTGAACCAAGACTTGTCCTAGTGAAGAACGGGATTTCAGGGGTTGCGGTATGATCATTCATAAGATAACTAATCAGTATGCCACAAGGAAATTTTTCAGACATTGGACACGGACCTACATACACACAGGTTTCCCGAAGGGGTCGTGTTGAGAGCACTGAAAAAGATGACTGTTAAAATATGGAAAAACTAGGTTTGGCTTTTAGCTGTTTACAGCAAGATCCCTAACTTTTACAGAGTCGGTATTTTGCAAAATTCCATAGCAGGCCGCGTT